GCTTTTAGTTAAATGTACCACCTTATCTAACAGCAAAGAATTTTACAAATAATATAACTTTAACTCAATATTATTTTAAGCAAATTAAATGATACAAAGACAGGTCTTTCGTTTGCAATTTTTCACACTTATAATACAGGAATTCTGCCCACGCCTTCGTGATCGATCCTAATTAGTTGGGCAACATTTCTTCACTTCTGCCCACGCCTTCGTGTTCGATCCTAATTAGTTGGGCAACATTTCCTCACTTCTGCCCACGCCTTCGTGTTCGATCCTAATTAGTTGGGCAACATTTCTTCACTTCTATGGAGAACTGACTCGTTTATAGATTGAGTTTTGTCATATTATATTTTCCTGTTGCTATTTGTCTGTTAAAATAACAGGATTTACCTTGTGTATGTAATGTTTTCCTGTTGCTATTTGTCTGTTAAAATAACAGGACTTACCTTGTGTATGTAATGTTTTCCTGTTGCTATTTGTCTCTTAAAATAACAGGACTTACCTTGTGTATGTTCGAAGGCGAAGTATGCCTAGTTATCTTTTAAATCCCCCACCCTGAAAATCAGGTTTCAATACCCGCTTGTGCTTTACAACAAACAGTAACAAAATCATTTTTAATTACTGGTTCATTTTTTTTTACTATTTTTCTGGTGTTTGGTGCAACAATAAACGCAACATCGGAACTTTTTTAAAATGGCACTGTTAGTAAGCAATATAGTGTTGTGTAGAGAACGGAGCTTAACTTACTGAAAGGAGCATTTTTAGCTGAAGAACAACGCCTGAAATGTACATTATTTTACAGTATCACGTACAAGTTTTGCTGTCTCTTCGGTATAAACTGGAGAGTTATTTAAGAAGAAGAATAGAAATTTGGTAAATAGTAATAATAATAACAAATAAAGGAAATTGTGGTATTAGTGTTTTATGCCAGATACATTGTAATTTAACTGTTTTTTTTTCTGGTAATATATATATATATATAATATATGTTTGATATTAACGTTTTCTGTTCGTATATTTTCTGTGACTCGCTGTTACAAACATAGAAAAAAAACTAATAAAGTTTGTTTTGTTGACTCTGTAGCGTTATTTTGTCATTCTTGCAATCGGTGATTATGAATAGTGATAATAGGCGAATTACCGAAAAAATGTCGCCATATTTGAGCTAACTTTTTTTAATTGAACGTAATTT